AGCTGCTTTCCCTCCTACTTGGAGTACTGTTGACATTAATTCCATAGTTCAGTTCAGGACAGGAGGGAAACATTCAAACATATAATTTGTCATGGAAATTTTAATAAGCCAGTTATAATTAAACTCTATTATCTGAGACGCAGAACATTCTGATGGAAATTGTCATTATCAGAACAGTAAAAGGCGTGCTTGGGAGTTTGAAGCAACTACCAGAATAATAAATTATTTCAAATTATAAATTTAGTAAGGCATGAAAGAATGCATTTTGACATATATATATTCAGTCTTGCACTGCATCCTTATGAAGGCTTGGAGTTTTATCATTGCATAATGATACAGCTCATGTTCATGGACATGTTTCATTCCTCAATGCAGCCTTAGCAGTCGGAAGCTTAAAACAAACAAACAGAAATCCAACAAGTGTTTCAAAGATACATTATTTAAAAAATAAAAAGTGAAYTACTTTAGCAGAAGGTGAACCTGAGCTGTCTTTTGGCAATAATTGCTGTGTGTAATGGGTATTAGGATCAAAGTGTCCAATACAGTGGCAAACCATGAAATAGGTTAAACAAATAGTTAAAGTTTAGGTGGCTTTGCTTTCCAGACTCCTAGAAAATTCCACTGATTATTATTTACCTCCTCATTACAGTGCTAATTTCTGTAATTTGGTAAGTACTCTGATTCTTTGATCATTAGGGTGAGTATATTTAAAAATGAGGCTGTCTTGCATCTTTCCTCCCAGCGGGCCTTTATTTTCTCCTGTGCTTTGTTTCTGCTCTCCATTAGAAGTAAACCCATCTGCAGCATAATGCCAGCTGCCTCCTCCTTAAACTAATTTTGTGTGTAAGCACAAACTTTGAGAAGGAAGAAACAACATGAAATGAAAAACTCTCCCAGTGGAAAGCGGCTTTCACCTGTTTCAGCTTCCTGTAACCAGTAGCTGGAAGGTCCTGTCAAGAGAATTTGCTGTTCAGTCTTTGAAGTGCTACTGAAAAGTGTAAAGAAATTTTTGGCAGACTTCTTTCCTTTGACTCCCAGTGTATCTTCTATTTTTCTGCAAGTACCGAAGACAGCAGCAGTTTGCTTTACCTCTTCGTACCAATAGCTGACMTCCCTGCAGTTGCGTTTGCGAGAGGCAAGGAGCTTGCTTAACTGCTCCAACACCAGGGCATTTTTTTATGATGGTAGTTCTGGTCCTAGTGCTCTTTTCSCTCTGCCATATTCATTGTTGATGAAGACCAAGTGTCAGCATTAGCTCTCATTTGCTTGGTAAGTGCTGACAGCAGTCGGCCTTGCCTTTAGGCATGTGAGGGTTTTCTTTTTTGTGTGTATTCAAGTCCTTTATTCTCAAAGTTATATGTTGATAGGAAATTAATAGCAGAAGATACATTTGAAGTGGTAAGCATTCCTCCAGAGGATTTGAGGACTTTAACCTCAGTTTTGCTCAACTTTATTTACATGGAAGAGACCCAATCAATAGCATGGAAGTAGCATGACACTAGTTCTAATGTGGACATACAGAATGGAAATCTACTACTGATGGTAACTAATGATTCCTTCTCTCTGATATTATATGATGCTTGTGTCCTTTTGCTTAATCATTGATTTAACGACTGAAAATTTTTCGAAGTACAGCTGCCCTTATGGGGTACTAACGTTTACCTATATACTGATTGCAGTGCTATACTTAGTGTTCTTAGATGAAGGGAGTGAATGAATTGAATAAATTCTTGCTGCAGAATTCCTCATCTATTAAGGAATTTTATACATTTTTTGTATACATCATTCTATTATACACATTCTATACATTTCTATACTTTCTATACACTTTTTTCTTCGTGACARTCATCAGTGTCAATGAAATCAGAGAAGATTAAGCTTGACAGCAAATATGGAAACAAACAAATTAACAAAAAGCTAAARAAAGTGGAGGGGGGAGGAAGACAATGCTCTTCTCTCTCTTTCCTTTTTCCATTTTCTCATGTCCATTTAAATAAGTATGTCAAAGCTGCTCCAGAGGTGAAAAGTACAGTTTCTSTCCATTGGTGATTAGATACAGTTCTGTTGCTGTTGCAATGATTTTTTTCATCCTCTTAGTAAAGAAATAGTTCTCCGTGTTTTCAAGTCCATTTTCCTGGATTATATGGGACTTTGTAGGAAACTTACCAAAATTTGACGAATTTCTAGGAAACCTAGCAAAATTAGTTATGTACTGTCAAGTGTTTGTTCAAGTTTTTTTTTTATGATTATAAAAGCATTTATATTATGCATGGTTTTGATAGCTTGGATTTTTTTTGATTTTTATTCTTGAAATTAATGTAGAAAACTTTCTGTCTTTTCTGTTTTGGATTTACTGTGTAGGCTAAATACTTGCAATAACTTYATGTACTTTTCAGCAACAAATTTCTTAGTATTAGTATGTATAAATGCGATGATTATAATAAGTATGCATAGTGTGGTCAAGATGAACTTGGTAATATCACATTATATGTGACTTGGAAACACCTGTCTCTACAGAACTGACTTGCTGCAGGATTAAGTAGAGTTTGAAATGGTCCACTCTCTTCTTGGTCATCTTACCCATTTTGCCCACACTGATTTCTCTCATTAACCATTTGTGAAAGGTCTTCCGTACCTGCTTGCAATTTCCTACTGTTATGTAAATAATACTGATATTGAAATTTTGTTTCTGTTGTGTTACTTTTAAAAAGTATTTCTCAAAAGTCAGTATTTGAAATAGTGGATTTTTTTTTTCCTTTTTGCAATGCATTTGCTGTCACTGCAGGTATTGAATGTGCAGGCTGAATGGACTTGGGGAGTTTTATCTAAAAGAACTAATTTCAAATCTGTAATGTTTTAGTGCTTTTCTTCCCTTATTTCTTTCAGATTTTTCTGTCATTTCTAGTACATGGCTTTATATTACATCAGTAGAGTTTTACAGAAAGGAACCATAAATGTCTTTTGTATATAAAGGTCCATTAGGTCCATTAGTATTTTTTCTGAATTTTAAAAATTCTTATTCTAATAAATTTTTAGGTTCTTTTCAGTATAATATTTATTACTTGCCTAATGCATTCTTGCTCTCAAATGTTCTTWTTTTTGTATACAGCTAATTGTCTTTGAAGACTGAACTATTCAAGTTTGTCTTGTATTAAAATGAGAGACTCAAGAGTCTAAGAATGGAATTCTAATGAAGTAGGCTAAAATTCACTTAACTGAACTGAAAACATAGATACTACTGGATTTTTTGTGCACGTAGGAAATGATATAGACTTAACGTACTCTTTCTAAAACTTGACCTTTAAATATATATATATCTAAATGTCAAAATATATATGCTTCTTTTTTGAGATCTTAAATGAACATCGTAACTTAGCAGAAAACTAAATYTTCCATAAAATCTATCCTTCAAGTTGAATCTTTTTACAAAGAGACTTCTAAATAAATAACTACATAAGTTACAATAATTTACTTGAAAAGATAGGTCAATGTATTTTATGTAGGGCTACGATAATCTGGGTTTTGTATTCTTTTCCTTGGTTCTTCGGTTCTGCCTGCAGTTTTTTTGTGTATACTCTACATCTGAGGCACTGGTGCAAGGGAACTCAGATGATTATTGGGCGTAGATGTTATTAATATGCTACTGAACTTGTTATCAACTAGATTTTCAGCCTTGATACTCTTGTATTTAGCTGATGTAGCTGATTAAATGATATAGTCTTTTAGGTACCCCACAGCATCAAAATACTAAAGAGTTATTGAGTATAGAACCTCTAGATTTCTTTATTATCCAACTTACCAGCTATTTTCTGAAGAATCATTTTTGGTTCTACTCTAATCTCCAAATAAAAAGGTTTAGATGATTTCTCTGTATGTCTCATCCCCCTAATTAGTTTCCAGGTTGTTTGTTGGGTTGCAGAGAGAGAGAGATCTCAAAGATATGTGGTCCTAAATACAATGTGAGGCAGAGGCTCAAATTAGAGACCCGAGTATGGGGAAAGGCTGAAGAATGAGCTCTGCAGTATTAAGTATCAGAGAATCCGCATGGAAGAAAATCATTACAAATGAAAGCCACAGGGAGCCAGGCTGCCTGATTTTTGTAGCTCAGGGAACAACTTGTATCTTTTGTTCTTGGGTTTTGATATGTACAGCACAACACTTTAATCAGCTACAGTTGAGTTTCAACGGAACTAGTTGAATCGTGTGCTGGCTGTTTTTTACAGTGATTTGTCGCCTTATATCTCTGTGGATATGAACAACCCACAACAAATTAAAACAGCATATTGAATCTCATTAGCCTTAAGGAAAAACAATATTTCACTTAGTAGCTTGAACCGTTTATATGTTTATAAATAAATTGTTCTAAACATATTTTTCTGTGTAGAAAGTATATGATATTTTTCTATTTTAAATAATTATGGCAAAGTTTTAATGATGACTGCTGGGGTGKAAGTCAATCTGCTTCATTTCTAGACTGTCTTCAATTACTAATAAAATTGTGTAATATACTGTGACCTTTTAACAATGTAATTTCATGGAAGTGAAAACAGCTTATATAGCTCTTTCAGGATGAGAGTGAGAGCCAGAATATGCACCCACTTTTGGAGTTGTCATCAGTGTTTCATTTCTGAGTGTACAAGAGCCCATTGCATATTTATCATTAGCACTTTCTTGTAGCAGAGTGATAGTGGTTTGTGTGTCTGATTTGATGTGAGTCAGAATTTCTATCTAGCAGTTTGAGTTGATTTTCCATATAATCCATTGTTTGCTATGTGCAATTAGATACAAATAAAATAGGTTCATGGTGGGAGTGAAACAGGACATCACGTGGATAGAACAAAGGATTAAAACCATTCTCTCTAAGCAAGATAACTTTCAGTTTATTTTCATAGAGTRTGAACAGCGATCACTTTATTAGATGAAAGATRAGAAGAAAAAAATTGTTTAAGTTTTTTTTTCCACTGACGACWTTTGAAATGTTTTCCTTGACAAAAACCTACAGCTTTGCTAAGAGTGCCCGAGACCAATATGAAAAGTTGTCCAATATGCACAACAACATGACCAAGTTGTATGAAAACTTGGGAGAATACTTCACCTTTGATCCTAAAGCAGTAAGCATAGAAGAATTCTTTGGTGATCTTAGCAACTTCAGAAATCTATTTTTGGTGAGTAAAGTCTGCAAAAAAGTGTGGATATATATATATGTCTGTATAGATATGCATAGATATGCTTGTGTGTTTATGTATATGTTATTTTCCTTGAGTTCTTCCAAATCTAATTTCCTTCTGTTCTCTATTTTTGGTGTTATAATTTGCTTTGTGTTTTGTTCCTGTAACAGAAAACTAGGTTCATGTCGTAAGACTTGCTTGGTTTTGGTTGTTGGTAACTACCGTTACTGATAATCCTTCTTCCAGTCTGCAACTTGTGAACTTGAATGTYAATTTGACCAATACATATGAGTAATAGTGTGGAAACCACTTTAAAAACCTGTTGGTTAATGTACAACAGATAAGTAATATTTGAAAGTCCTTACAAAAACACATTAAGACACTTGAATCAACGTGCCTTCATTCATGATTTGTTGGTCTGATACCAAGCTTTTAATGATGCTATGATGAAGCTTTCATGATGAGATCTATATTTCAGATATAATTTCAGAAGCTAATGTAGAAGCTTTTATTTTTGATGTCAGTATGGCCATTTTCCTTTGTTTTTAATAAAGGAATTCTAAAGAATTTCATTTTAAACAGATAAGTTTTTAAATGGATTTCATGTAATCTTTACTAGTGACTGTCTGGGAGCCATAATCAACTGCACCATAGGAAGTATATAGGAAAAACAGATGCCAGGAATGTCACATTGTGTCTCTAGAGAATGGTAAAATCACTTTGAAATACCACTGCATACACCGTTTACCATACAGCTGTAGCTCACGGTTCTGTATTTCGACAATAAATGGCTGAATTTATCAAATAACCATAAGGATCTTCTGTATAATAGCTCCAAACTTTAAAGCTTAATTTTAGTGTATACAGTTTACTTTATTAGCAAAAAGCTCTTACTGTTTACTGTTCATTTTAACTGTTTTACTGTTCTTTTTCTGTGAGCAAATAACCAATTCTCTTATAATTAGTAAGTCTGCCAACACATCACTGGAAAGACTTGTCAAGAAAAGGAGTAGTTGTCAGAAGCTATTTCAATGCATTTACTTTTTCACATATTAAAGACTTAATTTTTCACACGTGGATATGTAAATTTGGAAATCTTGAAGTAGATAATGCTGTTGTAACTTAAATAATGGAAGCAGTCTTCAGATTAGCGATATCCAAGTATCAGAGTAAAAATTGGTGCATAACTAYGTGTAAACAGCCATGAGGCTGATAAAGGGGCTAAAAAGCAAATATTCAGGCTTTTGAAAAGAAATATGTTTTGTACTCAGGATCCAGCAACTGGTCAYTAGATTTGGTTTCACAGAAACAGAAGGGAAGGATGACTTTTGTCAGCCTGCAGAGTACCCTCCTRGGCCGCCATTACGCGTTCGGCCTTCTTCACTGCTCACTCTTGACTCATGTTCAACTTGTCCACGAGGATCCCACTTGATTTTCTGAACGATAACTCTCTAGGATGGCATTTACATTACAGTTACACTTGGGGGTAGGTAGAAGACTTAGATAGCAAACATGGATTGAAGATTGTAGAGGGCCTTTATGCTTTGTTTTTAACTTTATTGAATAATTGAAGGATGGTTCTAATTTGGCATTAATTTTTTTTATATATATTTTATTCTCCATTCCTTTATTAATTAGTTTTTCAARTATTTTCAAATATTCACCTCATTTAAATGAAATTCTCTTTCAGGAATAGCTAGTGCATTATAAGTGTACRTACCTGAATGTCACCTACACTATTCACGTGACTACACATTGCAGATATTGTAGAATGCAGGTAAATATGACATGGGAGGAAGAGAGTGTGTTTAGCCTCAAAAGAGTTTTGATTTGCATTGAGAGTAAATTTCTTTTTTATATGAACATGATGCTCTGTTTTTTTTAACAAGGCCTAAGGTGTGTAATTCTCACTGGTTTAAGGAACTGTGAAAGATTACATTGTTTACAAGTTTATTTTCAAGCACTGGAATAGCTATAGCAATCAGAATAAGATGCTGGGTGCCTGTGCAAACTGCTGTTAATTATTATTCCCAATTTGCACATATTCCTCTGATTAAGGTTATRTGCATGTGTGTGATTCTTACTTTGGCAAATATTTCTCCATGGATATGACAAAGTGGTRTAAATTGTACCCTAATCAGTAACACTGAAACATTTTTCCAGATTCTATTTGCCCCAAATCCTTCTGTGCTCTTTATATAGGAGTGCAAATTACTTGCCTTCTGAATATTTGATAGTAGTCAAAGTAGACGGTACCACTTGTCTTGCTTCCTAATAGGAGAAGAAGAAGCTGTTGTGCAGATATTTCAGCATGATTTTATCAGAGTTTAGCATTGGATTAGATTGTGATTATGCAGACCAGCTAAATCCTGCTCTTTCACTAGACTTAGTTTTGAGGAAGTATTTTTATATGTTTTSAGTAGTTTGGACCTACTCTGAATTTTGTCAAAAGAAATAAATTATTGTATGTTGTTTACATATRAAATCAAATTTACTTGCTTTTCCTTCTTGGAAAATATAGCTGTAAGCATTTACTTATTATGACCAAAGAAACCTAGTTTCTCTCTGCATGTAAACCTGTATATCTACATAAATCATTTTTGGATTAATTTATTCCATTGACTTTGCTTCAAAATCACTCCTTGTCACCGAGGACCACAGTAACCACATAAGTATGTTCTCATAATCCTTGTTGTGAAGTTATAATGTTCTAATAATGTCTCATCAAAATCCCTCATCATGTGGTGTAAATACATTGAACAAGTTAATGCATTGCAAAACCTAATTGCTTCATTGCCTAATTAGCATCAAGTGCTTTTTGTGTTAAGGGAAAATAATTATAGATGCAAACTTCTGCAACTCTGGTTAACAAAGATCACCATCAGCCAGGTGTTTAATAGGTCAGCTCTTATTAGAATATTTGTATGATATTTATGATTTACCTAATATTAAAAATATGCAAAAGAATGTGTTTCAAAGCCTGAAGATTAAGCTGAAGACCACATTTCTGTAACTCTAGTTTATCAAAATAGAATTATCAGGCTCTGTGTTCTCATTTGGGCTATTAAACTTACATTCTAAATACAAAAGACAAACCACAAAGATGTTCCCTTGTTTGTGGACATGTAGGGGCTAAGTTTTTGTATTGCTTGATATTTTTAGARTGCAGGCAATTATCTATTAAGATATCCTAATGATATGTATTRGTTTAAATAGTTAATTATGTCTCTATAATGCTATGGTTTCTAACATCTTATCTGCCCTTCTCTTCTAAGCCTCTTTTAAAAATGTTATTAAATGAGGAGATGAACTTGGATGCATGCTAATTTAAATATTAAATCTTCTATTAAAAAAGAGACTTATGTAGCTTAAAGAGACTTTTTTTTCCCTTAGCATCATTTTTACTTTAGTCAATTCACTTCTGCAGATACACACARTAATAGTAATGATTGTAATTATTATATACATATTTTTAAGTAGCCTTTATGCAGGGGAACAGAATCTTATAGACTTTGGTGGCAAAAAGATTCTTGTTTCTGAATTAATTCTTTTCCAGATATTTGAGAAAGGTGTAAGGCAAGTGTTAAACAATTCATAGTACAATACCGATATTTATTATAAGAAAAAAAAAAAATTAGGAAAATCAAAATGTTGAAGGAAATGTTCATGCTTTTGAGAAGTTTCTCAAAAAAAGATCTTTGATTGAAGCTTAAGGACAGATTTGGAAATTACAATAAACTAATGTGCAGAAGTTACTTTCAAAAGCTATTATCTATGTAGATGAGAGTAGATGAGAATTCAGGAACAACTGGAGTAGACTAAGGATAAAAAATACCATTGGGGGGAAAAAAAAAGTTTTCAAAGTACCAGTGTTGGTTTTCCAGATTTTTGCATGTTAGTTCTACTATAACCTCTTTAATGACTTATTTTTCCTCGAGAAAGACACTTTCTCCCACAAACAGAGCATGTRTGCTTGATGACTTGGTAAAAGATATCACTAAAWCCTTATGTTGAGAGGTTCACATGTGTAGCCCTTTCATTCTGTTGTCATATATAGCATATATAGCATATAGGGCATACATATATTTATTAAACATGCCCATTCCAAGTTGGGCTCATGCCTGCGTGCTTCCTGTAATCGGTTACCACCAAGGATACTGTTGGTAGCAACATTTGCTTTACAATACAGYGTGTTCTTACTGAAACTTCAGCATACATCATTTTAGGTAATAGGCATTTTGTGAGCGCTTTGAATTTAAGCGTAGTCTTTTTAAAATGTCTTGATTGGCAGAAACTATTACTAGTATTTTCCCCATGCTGATGATGTTAGAGCCAGGATGTTGACTTAATAGACTGCTGATTATCTCGGTAATGACAATTTTTCTTTCCTTTTTGCAATTGCAAACAGGAATATCTTGAATAGAACCATATAATTCTAGAAATGCTAGTGTTTTTGAAACAGATCAACTATATGTTAATATTTTTGAAGATGRGTTTGAGGGTGTTAAATCATATGTCAACCCCTCTGATCACAGACAGTATTCTGTATATGTAAAATGTCTATGTTTGGAGCTGGATGTGTTTGTCTTGTACTGCTAATGCTGAGATATTTTAATGTTAGGAATTAATCTGGTCAGTGGTAAACGCACGTTGGAGATTGTGACGGGCATTAAACAAGTACCATATGTTGAATGAAAAACAATGCCTTTTTGATTATTTTAAATCAAAAATATATGCATATTTTTGTATTTGCCTTCTGTAAGCTGTTCATTGGTTATAACAGGAACTGTGCTTAATAAATACACCTCCCTGAGGCTTAGTAATCAGAAGATGTTAGGCTGAATGACAAGTTTTACAGGATATGTAGAAAAAATAATGCTTCTATGATTCTATTAAAAAAAAACATTGTAGCAGTCAGTATCGTTGTTACATCTTTACTCCTTYTCACCAAAGTATATCCACAACTGGAGAAAAAATTCCTTTGGGTCCAGCAGTTT